CAAGTATTCTTTGAAGGGCAGATTTTGTGGACACATATTCTTTCAGCCCATTTGTGTCATGGAATATTTTTCTTTCCCTTTCAACAATAACAGACATTTTTGCTGGCTGGACTATTCTGGGCTGGCATCTATGGTCATTTAGAACTGGAAATACCTTGGTCCAGGCTCTTCTGGCTTTCATGGTTTGCACTGATAAGTCAGCTGTAATTCTGATGGGTTTTCCTTTATATGTGAATTGTTTCACTTTTGCAGCTTTCAGTATTCTCTCTTTGTTCTGTACATTTAGTGTTTTTACTGTGATATGCCATGGGGAGTTTCTTTTCTGGTCCTGTTTATTTTCTGTTCTATGTGCTTCTTGTATTTGTATGGGGATGTTTTTCCTTAGATTTAGGAAATTCTCTTCTACAATCCTGTTTAAGATCTGGTCAATACCATTCACCTGAAATTCTTCTCCTTCCTCTATGCCTATGATATGTAGATTTGGTCTTTTCTTGGTATACCACATCACCTGCATATTCCATTCCTGTGGAGTTTTGTTGTTGTTGTTGTTTTTCATAATCTTTGCTTGAGCGGTCTAATTCTCCAACTTTATTTTCCAGTGTTGATATTCTGTTTTCCATTTCCTTCATTCTATAGGTGAGGCTTTCTCCTGTTGTTTCAAATTGGCTTATTTTAACTGAGTGTGGTGGCACATGCCTTTAATCCCAGCACTGGGGAGGCAGAGGGAGGTGAATCTCTGTGAATTCAAGTCCAGCCTGGTCTACATAGTGAGTTCCAGGCCACTTGGGGCTACAGAGAGACCCCATCTCAAAAAGACAAAAAAAAAAAAAAAAAAAAAAAAAAAATCAAATAGGCTTATTGAGTTTTTCAGTTTTATCTTCATTTCAGCCTGAGTTTTCTTCACTATTTCTATCTTATGCTTATACCAATCTTCTTTTAGTTCTTTGATTTGTTTGTATGTTTTTTAAAATTCGTTGAATTCTCTGATCATGTTTATGATTGTTCTTTTAAATTCTGTGTCCTAGGTTATCTCTCAGGTATTCTCCCTGTAGAACCTCTATAGGACTGGTGGAGTTTGGTGGGAACATATTATGGCATGGGATTTTCTTTCTGTGTGTGTGTGTGTGTGTGTGTGTGTGTGTGTGTGTGTGAGAGAGAGAGAGAGAGAGAGAGAGAGAGAGAGATTCTGGTATGAAATTCAAGTCTTATTTTGTTGAGTTGAAGTTTGCTTCTGTTTGTATTGTTTGTATTAGTGTTTTTCTTATTTGGTATGTAAACCTGATTGGTCTAGGCTTAGGGCTCTCTCTTTGGTTTTATATGGGAGGGACCAAATTGTTTCATTCTAGCTACTAAGGAGCTCCTGCAGAGGCCTGGCTGCCAATCAGGTACTCCCATGCTTCCTCTTTTGCCTGGGCCCCTACTAATGAGCAGCCGCAGCATAATTTGGGAGGCCCGATTTTGGTGCTCTCAGGCAGTCTGCAAAGATCTGGTCTTCTATTGAAGGGCAGAGAAGCCTAACCAAATTTTTAGTTCTTTATAAATTTCCTTAAGTCCTTGGAGAGCTCCAGTAATAGTTACATATCGAGTTGGATTATTTGGGATGGCATGTAATCTTGTCCTTTCAGCATTACATAAACCCCTTCTTTTTCAGTCCAAATGTCTAATACTCACCTATTCTCCCAAGACACTTTGATGGTAGAGCTGAATAGAGACATAAAGTATGACAGTCAAGGTATTCTTCCAGTAAACCTATCAAAAAGGCTCCAAAGTATATTAGTTACTTTATACAGATAACTTCGGGTTAAATGTTAGAAAGGTAGTCTTTAACTAATGTCTATAAAGAGATACAAGGAAAGAGAAAATGCAAGAGCATTCTGAGATCTAGAGAACCAAAAGAATTTCTTGATAGTCTCACAAGAACATCCATCTGTTGCATTCTAATCCTTGTTTATCTTTTGGCTTCCAAGCCTAGACTCCAGAGTGATGAACCCTGGGTTAGTTTTCAGGCACTTTGATAGGTATTGAACTGCCTAGAATCACAGTATGAGTTCCCTCCCAAATGGCTTCTATACAGGAAGTGAAAATAAATTTCACCGTCATTTAATTTTTACATTAAAGCAGTGGTCAGCCTGTCTCTCTTAGTTGCAGGTGGACACTGCAGTGTTGAATTGGACCAAATTCTGGTCTTATATCTAAGTAGGATTTTTCTTATCAAGAAGAAAAATAATTGTGAGAATTGTCTAAAGAATATCTCATATGACTTAAGCCTAATATCTATGATGTTTAATTCCTTGGACTCTTAAGGAAATATATTGATCACTTTAATTTTTCGTTCTACTTTCCTTTTGGTTGTTTATGACCTTATGACCATACAGTTGGCCCACATGAACCAATTTTTTTTCCAAGGTCAGACGATCTGATATTCAGGGGTCACTTGGGCTTGGGAGGAGCTTCAGGCTCTTTTAGTCTTCCTTTCAGCAGTTGTTCCTTCTGTGTGAGGATAAGGCAAAGACTTTACTTGATCATGACTTCATTCAGAATTGAGGAAACTCTCTTTGTGTTCACCCACCTCTTTGTAGACTGGACACTGGTTCAAGTTCATCTGGTGGACCTTATAGGTTCCCAGGTAAAATCCTATAGAAAATACAAGACAGTCAAAAATCTTTTTTACTTTATGTAGTTTAGAGAGTGGTCTACCAAAATTGTGCTTTAAGTTTTGAATGATTGTAAGCAGTAGAGAGCACATAGCAAAATATTATCAAATTGATGTTTACAACATCCAGCAGAAATTAACTAAGGAAATCTGGTTAAAGCTGAACTTACTGAGGATTATTTTTATAGGCAGAGGGCCCTCTTCATCCTTGCCATGGTCTGTAATAAGCCTTTAAAAAAACTATCCTTTGGTTCATTTACTAAGTAGTAAATAAATCTTGGTATTTACTATACATTTCCATTACTGTGTTAGTTACTTTTCTCACTGTTGTGACAAAATAAAGAATCCCGTTAGCTCTTTTTACTATAGACATCTTTGTATCACAAGATAAATAATAATATGAACTTTTGTTGGAAATAGTTTATGTACATTTGTCCAGGTGAGTTTTTTCATCTGCTGGGTCTTGTATTAGGAACAGAAATTTACAAGAGACCCATTTTAAGAGGTCACCTGTTATGTTTAAACTTCATGAATCCATGGGTACATGGCAGTGAGCCCCCATGATTAAGCAGGATCAGAGTGCCAGAAGTATCTGTCTTTACCAGTGTCAAACCTGAGATCCTCCCTGGTTATACTTGAGGTGACCAGATCCTTGAAAGCTTATACCCACAATTAGTGTTTCTATTACTGGAGGCAGACAACCTAAAAGGCTTAAATGAAGATATTTTGGAACTTTTCCCAAATCTTTTTGTCACCCTCTCTAGAGTGTTCTCTGGAGATCCTCTTGTTCCTATCCTATGAAAAAAAGTAGCACCTATTGAATTAGTCACTAGCTTTGTATCTTACCAAGGTGGGGTTGGGTACTTGTATCCTCTCCTTCTTTATTAATGACCCTAAAGAAGGGGGAGTATGTTCAGATTGTTCACTATACTAATGTCACTCTCTAATGCCATATGACCTTAATGGATTCTTTCTATATGTTGCCTGGTTAATCTTATCCTGCCTATGTAGGACCCGATATCCATAAAACCTCTGGAGGAAATATTGGCCCCTACCAATTTCTAATGATTGTAAAGTTAGGGAAGGTTTCCTAATCTGGCTCTCATGTGGCCTGAATCTTAACTCCCTTCAGTGTTCCTTCTGATTCTTTTTTTTTTTTAATTTGCAGTTTTTCAGGTCATATTCTAAATATTTCATTATTTTATTTTTTATGTGTAATGAATGTATTGCTGCATGCATGTAAGTGCACCCATGTCGTGCAATGCCCACGGGGGTCAGAAGAGGACATCAGAGCCCCTTGAGCTGTAGTTTCGGGACAGTTTTTCACCACATGTGAATCCTGGAAATCAAACTCATGTTCTCCGCAAGAGCAGCCAGTGCTTTCAACCTCTAGCCCCTCACTCCATATTTTAATTTTTTAAATTAAATAAGAGGCAAGCCTGATAGTTCTCAGGCTGAATTCTTTTAAAGAGGGCTATTGGCTTGTCTGGATTAGATAAAACATATTATAATTTACCATATATAATCTTGGATTATTTACCCATGTGCTGGAGAATACAGAAAATAATGGGACCTAAAAGAAGTTGGAAAGAGGTGGTATTAGAATGCTCTTTTTCTTTAGTCTGTCCATGACTCTGTAACTAGAAATTGAACAACAGGTTCCCAGGACATGATGGGGCAGGGACAAAAGCAAGCATGGAGCAAATGAGTCTCATAGAGGGAAATACTCTATGTCAGAGAAAAACCAACTTGGAATCATAGTGCAGAAAGGACAGGAATTAAGATGAATGAAACCTGCATCTTAAGCCTCCCATCAAAGCAGGCTGTCCCTTTTTGCCTCCCACTGTTGTAGCTACCTGCCTTTCGCAGCTTGTCTTTTGTAAGGTTTGGCTCTGGGGTACTGCAAATTCACATGAGCTTCCCTGGTCTACCCATCACAAAATGTCCCTTGGTCCCTGGCTAATGTTGAAGGCATATGGCTAGAAAAACTTTTAAGTTCCCTTTCGAAACTAACAAATATATTATGCAAAACAATGTAAAAATCCAAAATAGTCACCTTTATAAATCTAAATGTCATACAAAAAGATGTCAAAATCCAAACCAATTTCCTTTAAGAACAGATAAATGTGTCATGGAAACAATGTCAAAACCCAAAATAGTCACCTTTAGAAACCAGTAAATGTCATGTAAAACAATGTAAAGATTTAAAATAGTCACTTTTAGAAACCAGTAAATATACCATTCAAGAAGTCAAAACTGTTAGGAATAGGAGTGGAAAGAGTCACAGGTAGAAAAAAACAGCAACCAACCTCAACAATTCAAATTGATCTTTATTAGTCACTGGGGGGTTGGGAGCTGACCAGCAGAAATTGGAGCAGCAACCACACCAATTCAAGTAGCAGGGGACTTTATCAGTATGTGAAGACAGAGTTATGAGGGTTGGTGTTTGTAAGGGGCCTAGGGCCTGATAAGGGCAGAAGGACTTGTTTGCAGAACAGGAATTGCTTTATGGCTGGGGGTAACATAATCCAGGGACATAGTTTTGAAACAAGGTTAACAAAGGGAGTGATGGTTTATGACCAGTTGGGGGGGGGTTGTGCATGTTTTCTTTATTCCAGACCTCAAAGAAGAATAAATTCCAACTGCTTCCTGCTGAGAGGGGTCATTGTGGGGCGGGGACTTCAGAGTCCATTGGAAGAGGGGCATAAGGGAGTCCTGTGGTAGCATGGAGCAGGAACATAGTCTTGATTTGATCCCAGGTGGTAGCTTGGGCAGTCATACGGGCTACAGTCCTGCAATTCTGTAAGAATCTTTGGAAAAGTTGATTAACCATGGTGCAATGATGACTAAAAAGAGGATACAAACCAAGGGTCTCAAGAGAGGGGTCAACTAAGGAAGCCATTGTCTTATGCCAGACCAAGTTCCTACCATTTCTCAATACTTGAGAAGTTCCGAGGCTGATTCCCACAGTTTCTTTGCTGCATTTCTGAATATTTCCAGCTGGTTGATGTAGAAGCAGCATTCTTCCTGGAGAAAGAGACAGATACCTCCCATTTTTTAGCAGTTAATAGGTCCAAGTCTCGTTGGTTTTGGAGAACAACTCCTTTGAGGAGAGGGTATATAATTTTGGACCATAGTGATGGAGGCTGCGATTTCATCTTGGGAGTCTGAAAAGGCTTAAAATAACTGTTGGAAGTAATAGGTGAAGTTGGTGATTCCATCTATGCCTGTGCCAAGAGCAGAAGAGATGCCCGGTCTGGCCATGATAGGAAAAAGTTGAGGGGCCCTTTTTTGGTGGGTGATTGAAGGTAAGGACAGAAGGGATGCCATGAGTGGGATAAAGATTCTTTTGTTGTTGGGACAAGTTGGATGTCAAGGTATTGAAAGACTAAGGTGAAAACACTGACCAGTTGTCCGGGAGACATGTGTAGGTGGAGGAACCACAGAGGAAGAAAACTCCTGAGGAGCTGAGGCAGATTGAGTTATGATAGTGTAAGGAGATGAGAGATTTTTTAATTTCAGGACCAATTCGGTTAGATGGAAATCTCATCTCCAACATTAGATATGGGTTGGTAGTAGAAAAGGGGATGAGTAATATGAGGGTTTAGGATGTATTTTAATTGAAAGTGAGTTGGGTGGAGGGATAGGTTAACAGAGAGTGTTTTATTGTTAGTGTCAAAGAGGGATAGGACCCTGCAGTTGGGGGCAGAATTGGATGAGAGGCAATGCATCCAGGTAATGACAGGGGAGGTGTGACACAGAAACACTGGTCCAACAGGAATTGGAGGGGTGGAAGTCTAGTAACAGATGTCAGGGTCCAGAAAACCAGAGGGGGACTTTCCATTTACCATCATTTTGTTTTAGGGCAGTGTAGAGTAGATTGTCTCTGGAGAGGTCCTTGTTTGGGTGGTTGGAAGAGGGCTGGATTCAGAGGATGTGGTTGCAGAGTGAGGCAGAAAGCTTACCTAGAATGGTTGAGGGAGAGGGGGAATCAGGGAAGCAAGATATGCAAGAGAGGTGCTTGTGAGAAGAGGAGGGTGTCAGTGGACAGGTCCCCATAGAGGATGTTGAAAGAATTCAAGTTGGGGGGTCTGTTGACTGGGGAACAGAGAATGGAAAATATGCCAGTTGAGTTAATTAATAGGAGGAGGGTGGTAAACCCATTGTTCAGGGTTGCAGAAAGACTAGAGGATTGTGACGGGGTAGAAGAATTGAAGTCATTTTGAATGATCAGTTATGGGTATGGGGTTTGGGAATGGGCCAGTCATTAGGAAAAAGTGTAATTTCATGCAGGAATCTATCCATGGGGAAAGGTGGGGGGGGTTGTGACCACCAGGGACCTCTGAACCCTAGTGGAAAGACAAACCCAGCAGTCAGAAGAGAAGGTAGAATTAGTGGGTTTTAGTTGCTGGTGGGTTCAACTAAGGAGGCACATCTGGCTGTTGAGAGCCGGGATCAAGGGGAGAGTGAAAAGAAGGCACCAAGTGGGTGTCATGGCCAATATTAGTTTTTGGATTGGGAAGGAGGTGGGAAGAGGATGAAGTAAAGGGCCAAATGTCCTGATGGGTAGGGGTACCAGCCACAGGTCCTGTTGTATCTTCATCAAGAACACTCAAAGCTGCTGCAAGGTGAAAGCCATTAGAAGGACTTATGGTGGAATAGTCCTGTTTGAATATCAGTTTTGTTATTTTTAGGGAGGTAAGGGTCAGTTGGGATTGCTTAGAAAAGAGGGGTGGTAGCTTTTCAAGGTGTGATATATGGACCCAGGAGGGCTGTCTCTATATTGGCTGCAATGGGAGTAATTAGAATGACTGTAAAACACACTTCCAATTTTGGTTATATGGGGTCAGGATGGAATGAGGCCAGGTAAACAGAGTCTCCTATCTGAAGGGGTGGAGGTGGAGTGGACTCCAAGGGGACTAGGAGGAAAAGATCAGTATGTTTCCATAGGGAGGAGTTTAAGAAGGTTAGGAGAGGGACCATTATGGAGGTGGGGGAGAATAGGAGGTGTAAATGACAATCCAATAATGGATAGGGGCCACCCATACATGTGCTCAAAAGGGCTCAGTAAGAGGGGTGTTTGGGGGAGGGTATAGAGCTTGAGGAGAACTAAAGGAAGTAATTTTACTCAGTCCAGGTGTCTCCATTGTTAGTTTGATAAGTGTTCCTTTAAGAGTTCTGTTAACCCTCTCGATTTTTTCTGAGGAATTGTGGTCAGTATGGTAGGTAAAATTTCTAGGGTATCAAGATATTGGGCTACAGACTGGGTGACATTAGAGACAAACCCAGGAACATTGTCAAACTGTAGAGAGATGGGTAAGCTGAAATGAATAATTTCTTGAAAGAGAAGGGAGGAAATTGTGTTTGCCCTCTTATTAGTCATGGGGAATGCCTCAACCCATTCAGTGAAGGTGTCTACAAGTACCAAAAGGAGTTTATGTTTTTTTATGGGGGGCATATTGGTGAAGTCTATTGATAGTTGATACCTGGGAGGTATCCTCTAGCCTAATGAGTGAAGGGGAGGGGCTCGTGTTAGTATTGGGGTTAGATCGATGACAGACTTGATGAGATAGTGAGTTCCTTCAAGAACCAGGTCATGAATAAACTGGCCATTGATTATGGGGGTTCTCTTTTGGGCAAGGAAATCTTTTCTTTCCATGCTAAATATTGGAATGGAGACTATTGTAGGCATATTTTGAGTCTATATAGATGTTTACAAATTTCCCTTTGGCAAGCCAAAGGTAAGGACTTTGGCTCAGCCTGTTGGGAGTGGCAGGGGTATTGCATCTATGGTCTTTTGGGATTGGGAGGGCTAGAGGACTGGTTGGTTGGGGTACCCTTCCAGAATGGCATATCCCATGGTATATGTCAGTGCCTTTTATGAGCTTCCATCTCTGAACCAATAGGGTGACTCTGGGATTTGTGTGTCAGTTATGTGGTTGAAAGCGTTTGAGGGCAAGGTTGAGAGTTTTAGAGTAGGAGCATACTAGAACAGAGAGGTCTAGTGGGGAGGTGGAAGTTATAGGGAGGAGGGTGCCTGGTTTGAGAATGGAGCAGGTCTGGAAATTGAGGTTGGGGTTGAGAAGGTGTATATGCAGGAGCTGTTTTGGGAGAGAGTAGGATGAGAAGTGAATAATGGCTGAAAATGTCCTTTAGGGAGAGGGAAGAGAGAGTAACAGTTGGGCTGTATAAGGTTAGTTTATTGGCCTCTAGAATTAGGAGGACTGTGACTGCCATTGCCCAAAGACAAGGGAGCTAGCCCTAGTATATGAGTCAAGCTGTTTGAAGAGATAAGCAATGGGGTGATAAGTCTTACCAGTCTCCTGGCTGAGGAGGGCCAAAGCCTGTCCCTTTTCAGAATGATGGTAAGGGGGAAATGGCTTAAGGGGGTTGGGGAGATACTGGAGAACTTGGCTGGTGCTTGTATTAAGGCTTTTATTGGGGTAGAGAGATAAGAGGGACATAGGAGTGGTTCATCTAAGGAGCCCTTAGTTGCATCATACAGGGGTTGCACAATTAGTGAAAAGATGGGAGAACCCAAAGAAGCCTAACAGAAAGAGAAGATCTCTTTTTGTAGATAGGAGCGGGATTTCTAGGAGGTTAGCAATACTATTGGAGGGGATTATTCATTTATCTTGGGTGATCTGCAGTCCCCGGTAGAGGACTGTGCTCTGGCATATTTGTGCCTTTTGGCAGAATACGTGATATTCCCAGTCAGCAAAGGTATTTAGTAAACTGATGGTGTGTTCTATACATGTTTCTTTGGAGGGGCTGCAAAGTAATAGGTTAACTAAATATTAAAGAAGGTGACTTGGTAAAAGGCATAAGGTAAAAAGGTCTTTTTGTAGGGACTGGCCATAATAGTGTGGGCTGTCCCTAAACCCTTGGGGAAGGACTGTCCAGGTGAATTGTTAGGCCATTAGGGTGCTGTGGTTCTCTTAGGTGAAAGAAAAAAAGAGGCCAAGAGTCAGGATGCAGGGGAATAGTAAAAATGGTGCCTTTATTGCCAGGCGTTGTACATGCCTTTAATCCCAGCACTTGGGAGGCAGAGGCAGGTAGATCTGTGAGATCAAGGCTGGCTTGGTCTACATAGTGAGTTCCAGGCTAGCTGGGGCTATAGGGAGATCGTGTCTCAAAAAGACAGAAAAAAAGGGTGCCTTTAAGGTCCAGGATAGTGAAGTGGCTGGCCTCAATAAGGGATGGTGGCTAGGAGAATTTAGTGTTTTGAGGACCATTGGGTGAGTGGGGGTAATGACAACATTCATTTTCTTGGACTAGCCTGTATGAGATGTTCAGTATTTTTACTCCCAGAATAGGAGTATTATGGGGAGATTTTATAGGGGCAATGAGGTTAGTTTTCAGAAAGTGACTGATTAGAGGTTGGAGTCATCTGCAGGTAGCAGGGAAAATTGGATACTGGGCCTGGATGATATAGAAGTTGGGATCCCTTAAGGAGACCCTGACAGGATGATGGTGTTTGGTAGTTGTTCAGTTATCAATATCCCAGACCTTGGGATTGATGGAAGTTTCTAAGTAGGAGTGGTCTTCAAGGAGGGAACAGAAAGTATTGGCCAAGCCAAAGTCTAACATTAAACAAAAGATAGTTGTTGAATTAAAGGGGGGAAGGTGTAGGGTGGCCCCAGTTTTTTTTTTTACCTAAGTCCGATTTCTAAGAGGGATATGGGTCATTCAGATACAATGATGAAGGAGTGTGATATAGTTAATTGCCTGAATGTACAAAGGACCTTAGGAGTGAGCCTAGGCAAGTGGGGGATACCTGAGACTCCAGATATAGGGGTGTGAGAGTTTTTTGAGGGTCCTGACCAAGATGAAACAAAAAGAGTGATGACCACAAAAGGAATATTGGTGACAGGCCACTGTCTCAATTACCAAGTGTATTATTCAGGGTTCTCTAAAGAAACAGAGCCACTGGAATAAGGCTAAAGTTTCAGGAACACCTTTTCCCAGTGCCCTGATTTGCCACAATGGAAGCAGGCTCTGGGAGAAGTCTATCAGGAGGACATGGGACTGGGGGTGGCCTTCTGAGGTGGTCGATTCTGAAAGGCCGAAGCCAGGAGTTAGTACTTGCCCTTTAAATGTTTTTCCTTTTCCCTTTTCTCCTCATCTTCCCAATTATTAAAAACCTTAAAAGCTACATTTTGGGGGGAGACTCAGGTCCCTGTTCTAGCTGTCATAATTTTTTTCAGATATCAGGATCTCACTGGCTGATAAACTAGATGTGAAGGAAGAGGGTGGCTGTGGGTCTGGAGAGGTCTAAATTGGTATATTTGGTAATTGCCTCAGTGAGCCAGGTGATCATATGGTTTATACTTTAGTTGCCCACATGGTTTGGCTGCTAAGCCCATCTGGATTTAGTGGTGGAAAGAGCATCATCACTGCCTGTGGAGGCTATCAACGTGAGTATATGCTACCTGCCAAATTTTTTCTTTTTCATCAGGAATGAAGATAGATTTAAGGATATAATAGATGTCTGAGCCAAATGCGGTGGTGCAGGCCTTTAATCCCAGCACTAGGGAGGTAGAAGCAGGCAGATTTCTGTGGGATCAAGGCCATCCTGGTCTATATGGCGAGTTCCAGGTCTGCTGGGGGCTACATGGAGACCCTGTCTCATAAATACCGAAAGAAAAAAAAAAGAAGAAGAAGAACAAGAGCAACAACAAATACCAAAAATAGATGCTGGCTCAGGTCAGAAGGTATGATTGTGCAAGGCAGAGAAATTTCTTTCTAAATGTAGTAGGATTCTCAGAAAAGGAGCCTAGTTAAATTTGATTTGGCTCATGTCTGACAGGGAAAAGGGGATGTGGATTCCGACATTACCCTGCATTTCCACTGCCTCCCAGAGGGGAAACATATGATGGGATTGGGGTTACAGTTGGGGTCGAGATTGGGATTTTGAGCAGATAATGGGTAGGGGAAAAGGGAGGTGGGTAAAGAGAAGGAGCAGGGAAACTGCAGAGGGATTGATAAGGACAGCAGGTAGCAAGGAAGCAGGTGTGAGTGAAGGAAGTATTTTCAGAGAAAGGCTGGGGTCAGGGGAGAATAGGAGTGGGGGGGCAGATGATGGGGGTATCCAGGCAGGAAGAGGGATTTGAAGATGAGGGAGCAGAGGGTGATGTGGAAGGCGCAGATGAAATGGAGGGCTGGGAGACCAATTTGTACTGCCAAATTCTCTCCTGGGAGACCCACACATGCACTCTCTTGGCTCCCAGGTCCACACTGTCCTTACGCCTGACCAAGAAAACTGACACAAGGCATTCTAAGCCACAGTTTGGAGAATAAAGATATTTATTTGGGCTTGCCAACAAAGCTTATGCTATCTGCGAGGGGGTCACTTACAAAGGCATGGATGCCCATGGGCTCTTTCCCCTACATCTCGGCTGAGCTTTTTGAGATCTACTGCAGCCACCAGCTCCCCACCAAGATGGTGACCTTCTGCTGCTTCCCAGCTTCCTCAGCAGTCTGTCCTTAGACCCTTCTCCTCATGTAATTGAAGCTAACCAATTGGGTGGGTGGGATGACTGTCTTCCCCTTTGTTTCTCTTGGAGGACACACCTATCCAACAGGAGAATTGAGGGTAAACTGTGGACTGTGAGAAGGCTGTGGGGGGGATGTTATAAGGAGGGGGCTCATCAGCCAGATCATGGTTGAAAAGGGGAAGATTTTGCTATATGAGTTGGTATCTGGATAGAGAGGAATAGATGGAAAGGCAGGAATGAATGCATGGGCGTAAGGGACCTCAAACTACTTGTCATTTCACTGGAGGAAGTGATCTAAGTCCCATAAAATGGTGGAATCAAAAGTTCTGAATTCAGGCCAAATATTTCTGTTATCAAGTTGGTATTTAGTCCAATTTGGGTACATAAGTGAACTGAATGTTTAGATTTTAGTTCAGTAAAGCCAGGTTGTTAGAGATTTTTTTCTGAGACAGTCCAATGGGCTATCTTTTTGGGATTGATAGTTGGGACCCCATAGTAAGCAGTAAAAGTAGAGAGAGGGCTGAGTCTGCAGCAACAAGACCTCCCCTGGTGTCAGAGAAAGGCTGGAGAGGCAAATCTGGAGGCAAAGAGCTTGAAGGGGTTTTGGTGCAAAGATTTGGTGTCCCCAGGTCTGAACACCAAAATGGAAAGACAGGGACCTCTGAGATCCAGGAAAGAGATGCTCAGGTTGCCTCTGAATGTGGCCAGTACCTTACTGTCACTGTCCTGGAGAATCTGAAGCCCTCTTCTGACCTCCACAGGCATTGCATGAAATTAAAAAAAAATAATTTTTTAAAAAAATTCAGTCCTAATTTATAACCTTACCAGATATGTGTGAAGGTTCTATCCATTTAGAAAAGTAACTGCCTAGGGACCATGTTATCAAAGGTGGTGTCAGACCTAACCATATTAAGCCACTCTGTTCTAATTTTTATCTTTTGTAACTTTTTATAAATCTCTGGTCAACTGCCGGACACAACATGTAGTTTAAGCATTCCCTGGACAAGGGAGTCCTCCAGATTTAATTCAGAATATTTTCTTATCTGGTCTCTATAGTCTGTGAAAAGAAAAAATAATTCAGTTGAACGTTTATCTTTTCCTAGTTGGATATTAAAAGCCTTACTGATATTTTGAGATCAAGGAACCAATTCTTTCATCCCTCTCATAGTCAGAACTCTCATTCCCTATGGACTTCATTATTGTTATCTATCTGGGGTCCTGGTTGGGGAATTTAACCTCTGGTGTCAGGACCCCCTGACCTCAGTGCTACTTAGTGGAGCATGAACAAATCCAATTCCTCCCCATCCAAGGGGAAATAAAACCTGGAACTTCTTCTAAGGACTTAGAGGGAAGTGGAGATTTTGGAGGTCTCTTTTGCATTGCTAATTTTTTTTCCTTATCTAGGGCAGAAAAAGGTGGGAAAACCTTTAGACTAGCCAGAGGAATTAGTTTTCCCACTGGGGGAATCTATTTATTTTCTTTCTTACTTTCTTTTTCATTCCCCACCCTCATTTTGTTTTTTTCCTAGAGCTCAGTTTGGCCTATTTAGCTCCTATTCTAGTCCTTTAGAAGCTTAGTCCCCACATCCTTAAGAAGGAGGTTTCTTGCATCTAAATTGAGAGTTTCTTAGAAGTTCAATATTCCCCCATCTCTAAGAAGGAAGTTTCTTGCATATAAGTATGCTACTTCACCAGTCTCTGACCAATTCCCTTGAAGGAGCTGCATGTCAAGGCTCCACACTCATTTTGCATTGAATTGTGTGTCTCATTCACTCTCAAACAACCCTAGAATGTCCCAATCACCAAGGCAATATTTTGTCATTCCCAAGATTTTTCTTAGCTTGTTATGTGTGCAGAATTTCCTGGTCTCCACAGTGCTTTCTTGGACCCTTTCCTTACACAGTCAAGAGACTTTCCTGCCTTGGGATCATTACCAATCCAGGAAGTACCAAATGTCCATGCCTTGGGGTCACCCCAGTGAGGCAGTGGGACCGGTCTCACCAAAATTAGGGTTCTAGACTTCTTATTAGATGAAATTAGAATCCCGGACAAGCCCCTAAATTGTTAAAACTAGAATCCAACGTTCAAGGACCCCATGAATACTTCAAACTGACAAAGTAAAAAGTAACTCAGCAAGGCAGATTTTACTTTTGCAGAAAGGTGTGTTGCATGGTCATTCAGATCCATCAAGTACACAGGACCCCAAAGCTTGGTAGGCTTTTATCCCTAATGTAAAAATACTGTGTCTTTTCTCTATTGACTGCAGCCCTACCTCACAATCTTTCCTGGCTGGCTAGTTTAAAAGAATCAGCCCAAAGAGAAAAGATATCCAGTGCCCCAGGCCATCAGGTTCTGGAATACAATACTGCCTTTCCTTAAATTTTACAGGGTATGGTAGGATTAAAATATTAGAATTCTTGGTCATAAACCAAGTTCCAAATTTTACAGGGTTTCAAAGAAAAGACTAATGTTTCTAACAGTCTCTGATGCAAGAATCAGAGCCTGCCATCGCTTACAGACTGGGGTACTTAGTAGGCAGAAAGAGGTGTGGTAAAGATGTAAAAGTTTCCCTTTTTGGCCTGAGGTTGCCCATTGCTGGGAGTAACCAGTGCATGGCAAGTTAAAGAATGTTAGGTGATGAATAAACATCTCTCCTGGATGACAGTTACTGGGGGACAATAGGTTAGAAAAGGCAAGAATCTAGAGAAACAAGTTAATTTACTTCTAGGAACCAAATTACTTCTGTTTCTGTAATTGTAATTGTTAAATCAAAACAGAAAAGCTTTACAGGCATGACTAACAGCAGGCATTTCTATTAATTCATTAAATAATTAATTTGTTAATTTATTTTTAATGATAGGTACTGAATCTAGGACCCCATGCATGCTAGGCAAACACTCTACCATCAAGCTATATCTCTAGCCCTTAATCTTAACAGTTGTAGAAGCATGGAAGTCTAGTTTCTGCTGAGGTTAAGGCAGCCAACCCTACCTTCCTTAGGAGTGGAAATTTTTGAATGCTTGATGTAGGGATCCAGATGCACTAACAGGTAGTTCTGAGGTTGAAATAGGATGGAAAACTTGAAGCATCATTTTAGCATGGAACTTGTGGAGTCTGGAAGATAGAAATGTTACATGAAGGTTTAAAATCAAGGGATCAAATATGAGGAGTAGAGTAATAGTTACCAAGGATCCTAAAAGTAGTAGAAAACAGGTTAGGAAGGGCAGAGGTCAGAAGAGGACATCAGATTCCCTGTAACTGTCGTTATAGACTGTTGTTAGACATGATGTGGGTGCTGAGAACTGAACCCATGTCCTCTGGAAGAGCAACAATTGCTCTTAACCACTGAGCTATCTCTCCAGCTCCTTCTATCTGATTTGTATATTAATGTACACATCAGGAAATGTTAGCAAGCACACATATTCCACTGTGCTCAATTAGCAAGTAATCTAGCCCAAAGTTACTATGAACCATCAGATATAATGACTTGAAGTAGTTTGAATTCATTACCTGAAATTTTAGGTAGTTAGACCTTATGCCACTGTGTGTTGTCAGCATTGCATGTTATTCCTCTAACTGTTTTACCCAATGTCATGATGTCTACTACAACTCTGATTAGTTAGCCTATTGAGAGAAGATGGAAGAGTTAGGGGAAATGACAAATTATAAAAAATTATGGTATATCCAATAGCCACTTGATTCTCATCTACTACAAATTATATATACCAACTTGTACCCTGGAATTGACCAAGAAACATCAAAACGAGCTTGAAGCAAAGGAAGCCATTCTCTAGAACCAGAATTAACATTTGGATACAGGGCGAGGTTTTGATGGAATAGGAGGGGAATATGTCACTGAATCCAGGAATAAGCTTGTGAGAGTCCCCTTGGTATTGGGGGACTCTTGGTATTCTTAGTCCAATTGAGCCACCAGTTAAATGTTTTTTTCAGTATAGTTCCAACAGATATCTTTTCATACAGAACAGTTTAATGGGAAGGCTTTATCACAAACACCTAAGGCACTGTGAAGGAAAGTAAAGTAAGATATCAGTTAATTGTGTAAGGTTGGGTGTGGTGGAACACACCTTTAATCCCAGCATTCGGGAGACTGAGAAAGGTGGATCTCTGAGAGCTTGGGCCTGGTCTACATAAGAAGTGAGACCCTTTCTGAAAAACAACAACAAAAATCAGAGAATTGTGTGATTCTTGAGGACTGGTAAAAATAACAAAGTTTTGGCCAGAGGTACATGAGAAGGTTTGGAGTCTCCTGGAGTAATTTACATAGCTTGAGCTCCTTTACATAACGGGTCTCTAGTGATATTGAAGCCAGCTGCAACATTAGTAATTCAGATAAAAGATTTGGGTTAGAGACAAAAGGAATTTTTATCCCCTGTGTTGGTGTGAGGGGTATGACATGGTAATATGGGTAGTTTGTTTGGAATATTGTCCAAGGAAACTTTTTTTATGGTTGCAAGGATTCTATGAACATATGTCACATTTCCAGATGTGGTTGTGTTGTACCTCATTCACAGGACCCCAAAAAGACCACCGAGGACCCAACACACCAAAATGCAAAAGCAAGGTTTATGGTTTATTTGGGCTTAAGCTCGGGCTCTCAAACCTCACCAACGCAACGGATCAGTGCTGAGAGCCTGGAGTAAGAGAGGGTGAAGCCTTTTATAGGTTTTAGACAAAGAGAGAAGGGGGATACCGAAATACATTTTGGTTGATTCAAGGAGCCTGCGCGCGCCAACATAATTTTAAACTGATTGGATGTATAGGATGCAGCCTTGGAGGTTCCTTATTGGTGGGTGCTATTCTCAGGGCTGTGGAATGTGCTGACTGTTATCTGTGGGGCCAGGAGTCTCCGTTTTTACCTTATAGGGCAGTTTCATGCCCGGGCTTGCTTAATCTATAGTTTTCTGGAGTGGGGGGTTGTAGGTGGGGGTCAGGGCATGCCAGGGCATGTCTAGGCATGCCTAAAGCAGCAACCAAGCATTTTACAGAAACTAAAAGAGCAATTAGTGGGGGAGGGATTGGGAGGTGGTGGGTGAATGAAGAGGGTCTCAGGGTCCCACAGTTGCTGGTGGTACTGTAGGTATGGATCTGAGTCTCAGGGCACCCCTCAAAGTTTCCAGGCTCTTGTATCCAAGGATAAAGAATTGATTCAGAGACAGTGATTAGAAATAGGAATAGAGACAGTTTATTAAGAAAGGGAAAGCACTCCTGAGAATGGGAGTAGGCAAGTGAGCTGAAGGAAAAGCCTACACTCAAAAAGCACATGGCCCTTTATCCCTCATTTACATAGCACAACCTCTTCTACATTTGCATATGACTAGCTGTTCTTAAGTATGTTATTTGTGGTAAGTAACTAAAGTGGGGGTTTCCAGTCTCTCTGACAATTGGCATCTTTCACATTAATGTTGATATGTTTTTCTCCAGTTCCTACTCCCCTCCCACAGTGCCAAATCCAGAAATCAATTACATTTTGGCCCTTAAGTAAGCCATAGATGTGAAGAAGATAGGCATCACATCATTGCCTGTGTACTAGGGAGAATGGTGATTAGGAAAAACATTAAATGAGAGACCTGAATGAAATGGGCCATGATTGTAGACTATACTAGGATGGTGCAGAATAGGAAAGCTAGTTATAGAGCACCCTGGAATAATATTTGCAAATTAATGCAAATTATCAACCAAAATCATTAAAGAAGGATATCCAGATAGAAGCTGTTGCTATTATCTAAATATTTTCTCTTATGGTTCCTTTTGAAGAGAAGGCTTAGAACTCCCATGAAGTTGTATAGGTCTAGCCAGGGTTGTTTCCTGTGTATCCTCAAAAGAGACAGGTTTGATTCCAGAAAGATAAACCCAAATGTTATTCCACTTAGAACCTGGCATGGCCCTTTATGGTTATCAGAGTGTGGCACTTCCCTCTGGGACTAAGTCATACGTTCCTCTGTTTCATTAAATGTTAAGACTTTTTTCCTTCCTCCTTTCTTTTTTTTAAAATGTGAGATAGGGTCTCATTATGTAGCCCTGGTTCACCTGGTACTCAATGTATCCCAAATTGACCTCAGACTAATAATCCTGCTATTTTAGTTTCCCAAGTGTTGGGGTTGCAGGTGCCAAACTGGGACCTCATTCCCATAATCTGCTATAGCTTGTTGCATCTGTCCTAGATTGTCTAGATATTTGATAGGCTCTAGGTTCTCTGTGTCAAAAGGTAAACATGTAGTCAGGAAAGTCCTTTTATATAGCACTTCAAAAGAGCTAAATTTTAAGGTATCCTTAGGAGCTATTCTTACTCCAAGAAGGACTTATAGGTAGCAATTTTAAGCCAGGACTCAGAGGTTTCCTGACAAGGTCTTTTTAAGGGTATGATTAAGCCTTTTCAACCTTTCTAGATGATTTATTTTCTCCCCGCTACATGAAGTTGATAAGTGATCCCCAGAGCAGTGAAGACCTATTGAATTGTTTTTGCTGGGAAGGAGGGTTAGTTAATATTCTGTAGGACGTAGAAAGTCCAAAGTGAAGAATGGTCGCCTTTAATAACAGCTTTAGAGACTTTTTGTACCTTTTTGGTTCCTGTAGAGAAATCCTCAATCTACCTTGTGAAAGTGTCAATGAAGCATAGGAAGTATTTATAGCCTTAAAATGGGAGATCTGAGTGAAGTCTATTTGCCAGTTCTTACCCAAGTAGGTACTCCTTCTTTGGACTGGGTTAAAAATCTAGTTTGAGGGGCTGGAGAGATGGCTCAGCAGTTAGGAGCTCTTGCAGAGGACTCGGGTTCGATTCCCAACTGTCCTTAACTCCAGTTCCAGGGGAATCTGAAGCCCTCTTCTGACCTCCTCAGCATTGCACAACATAGACGCATTCACATACATGCAGGCAATACACTCATACACATAAAATAATAAATTAAAAAAAAAATTGGGGGGATCTATTTGAGACAGGGTATCCCTGTAGCCCCAGCTGGCCTGGAACTCACTATGTAGACCAGGCTGGCTTCGAACTCACAGAGATCCATCTGCTTCTGCCTCCCAAGTGCTGTCCCTTGTCACTTTTCTCACAGTTTGTGAAAGATTCTTGACCCTTTCCTACTAATGTCCTGAGAACTGAGGCCTCCATTCATAGCATTATACGTGGGAACAATCATGGACTTTTATTTCCTTCCACTGGCAGGTTTTGTGATACATTTGGCATTTAGGGTCCATCATCTTATTTTGATGCCTCCCTATGAGGGCCAAACTATTCCATCTTGGGAATAACTTGGTCTGTGCTCCATCTCTTTTTCCGGGGTTAGTAAAGTCATATCTAGTCCACATGAGACAGCTTTCTTTAAAGTCTTCCTTTCTCCTCTGTCATATAGTCTCCTTTAATAATATTAATATCTCTTTTTTGTGATCTTTAATGTAGTTAATTCAGATGGCTCTTGAACTGTCTATAAGAAGGAGAAAATCTCTCTGATATATTGTGTTTGGGGTTTTTTTGTGGTTAATAATCCCCTTCCCTTCTATATGCCTACATGGGTATGTATGTAAGACAAGGAGGGAATATTT